CAAGCTGGAGAGATGGCAAGGAGGGAGAGATGGCTCTGACCCCCCCAAAGGGGGGTGGGCTGGGATGCCCCGGGACCCCAAGCTGGACTTAACTGAGGGGGTCCTGCTGTCTGTGCCTGCAAGACCTGTCTTGGACTGTATTCCTGTCATCCAAATAAACCTTCTGCTTTACTGGCTGGCTGAGAGTCATGGTGAATCGCAGGAAGCCGGGGGTGCAGGGCCCTGAGTCCCCCAATACTCCGTGACAACTGGGTAGGGCCCTGGCCTGTGTCTTCACCTTCACTTCTCTCTGCTCCCCAGGGACCTCCCAGGCCGGGTTCCAGGGGACCAATAAACTGTGTGCTGTGTGGAAAAGGCTTTGGGATGTCACTGCAAACACTGGCTGGGGACACTGGTCCCCAAAGAGCAGCCAGGTCTCTCCAGGGGTCTGTCTCAGTGGGATGTGCCGGGCAGAGCTCGTGGGGTGAAGCAGGGGGGCTGGAGCCGTGTGCTCGGCCGTAGAGGAAGAGAGTCTGGCACGTCACAGGGTTCCTCCAAGGAGTGGTTTAAAAGCTGGGGCGTAGCACTGAGTCTGGGGAGCCACGACAGGGAGCAGCGCTGTGGGTCCCAGCCGGAGGCACCCGGCCAGTGTGGGGTGTCTCCTTCACAGCCAGAACCGACAGCAGAGAAGGGCGGGCACATCTGCAGGCAGACCCGGGGTAGAGCCAGCCCTGCCCCCAGCCAGGGCACAGCGCCCCCCAACCCCCGCCAGCCAGGGAGCTCTCCCCCCAGAGCAGTGCTTCAACCCCAGCCTGCCGGCTTGCGTTTCCCCATGACTTCAACCCTCAGACTTGCACACAGTCTCCATTTCCCAAGATTGAATCATTATTTAAAAAACTGTATAGAAATCACCACTCTCCCATCATTCAGTGCATCTGGCCCGGGCCCGGGCCCCTCGCCCAGCTCCGGCCTCAGCGGAGCCGCTTCTCCTCCCACACGTGCAGCACCTTTCCCCGCAGGCACCTTCCGGAAAAACAGGCTCTTGCCTCAGTTCATGTTCCCCTGCACAGAGAGGAGAGGAGACGGCTGTCAGGGTGCCCTGCCCCGGGCAGCTTCCCTCTGCCTGTCACCCAGGCCCCAGTCTGCCTGGCCCTTCCCCACCACTAGCCCTCCTAGCCACACAGCAGGGCCAGCGCTTCCCAGCCCTTTTATAACGCCCACCCTGAGATGAGAGCCAGGCACGGCTGCCCCACACACGGCGTCGCTGCGCTATGGGGCCGGGGCGAGGCCGGGACGTACCTCCTTGAGCAGTTGGCTCCAGCAATCTAACCAGGAGGAGTAGTTGGGTGCGTAGGGGGGGAGGCCACCAGCCAGCCTGCAAGAGAGGAGAGGGGGGAGGAAGTAGCAGTGAGCCATGTCCCATGTGCCACGTACCCCTCCA